GCACGAATGAGCNTAATTTAGAGTTAAATTAATTTAAAGTTAAGTTAATTTAGAGTTAACTTAATTTCGAGAAAACCATTTACAGCGATATCATTCTAACTGATTCATTAGTTACCTTGTTGCCATTACATGGCGTTTGATCGATGATATATATTACAATGTATACTTAAATAAAGAAATCTACCTAAAAATTTTTTTATAATATCCGTAACTGAACAAGAAAAATTCAGAAACCAGTCACTTCGTTAGCAAAATCTGTAACTTCCCGCCGTTAGATCTTCGCATTTAGTTGACTTTGCACCCGCGAAATTGAAAATGCCTGCGTTAACACTTCGTGTAGAACAAGATCAGGCTCTGTTGTTGCCGCGAACGGCACAAGCTCCACCGGCCCCGTGGACGGGGTATGCAAACATTTCTTAATCTTCGGTGACGCGTATTCCGTTTTTCGTTTTTCGTTAATTAATTCGCGCGAGGTTGTCGCGCAGCCGCCCAGTCGGAGGGCTCGGTCACGTTTATTCACCGGCCGCCGGTAATATTTTCGAAGTGAATAATTCATACGCGGGATTGAATATTTAACGTTCCCCGTCGAAGCTCGTCAATTTAACAATTTCAATCCGCTTAACGCGGCCGGCGGAGGGAGAAAGGAGGACGCCGGGAACGGGAAAGAGACGGAAACGGGTTCTCACGCTTTTGAGGACTCCCGGGGAATTATGCAACGCGTGCTCCTCCGCCTCGGCCGTCCCTGTTAACTGTGCTCTGGATTTCAACGAGAACACCGTTTCCACAAGCAGAAACACAACAACGTCCTCGCCGCGGCCGTGTAATTTATCCTGACCCACCCACTCCGGCGCGTGTCACTTAATTAATTTCATTCATCGGGACTCCGCATTTTAATATCTTAAACCACCAGCGGGGCACCGTGCACGTTGTTTCTCAGTGCGAACGAACTGTTACGACAAAATGACGCGACAAAATGACGCGTGAACATCCACGAGAACAGTTCGCCTCGATCTGCTCGGCTTCGCTTTACGTTTCACTCGAGTGCAAATCATTTTCGCCGATGTTTCGCACCGCGAGTGACACTTTTCTTCGGCGTTCAGATCGATGACCTTCCTTCGAGCATTAAGCTTTGCGATTGTAATAATATTTCTGTGCAGGTGCGTGTTCGAAAAACGCTGCAAATTTATGACAAACATGAGTACAGTAATTTCTCCCTAATTTGCGCTCAGATTGCGCACAAATCTGGACAATTTGGGAGAAAAATGGATAATTGTTCGAGCCTTACGGCTCGTTTTTACAGCTACCGATTGTCAACAACTATAAAAACGAGACGCATGGCACGAATGAGCGTATCTCCTCTTCCCAAATTGTTCATTTTTGTGCGCGATCTGAGCGCGAATTGAGGAGAAATTACTGTAGTTTCAATTCACAATAGTAGATAGATTACACGAACTTTGTATTTCATTTCTATCTCTTGCGATCGATGCAGACAATTTTATTTTGCATGAAAATCCGCAGTCTACTTATGACTGGTGTGCGGATCTTTCTGCGAGATCAAAATTGTCCGGATGAATCGCAACAGGTAGGAGCCGAGTACAAGCTTATCTCTCTCTAAAATAATTTTAATTAGTCGTAATTAACGTATCAACAGTTTCAGTTTCTTTTAATTTGTTCACTAATTTATCGTACCATTCCTCTTTATCCTTTTTCTTTTTATGTTTCATTCACCTGTACATTTTACCCACAAATAATCGTCTATAATCTATTTTCGAGTAAAATCTACAGTCTCCCCATGACAATATTTTCTACGACACGTTCGAGCAAAAGTGGACCACGCATTTCCCAAAAAAATCGACCTCAGTTTACCATCGAACACATTCATTACCGTCGGTTCCCTCGACGCGAGCCTAAACGCGGGCATTACACCGGAGTTTATACCCTCGGATTCACCGGATCATTAAATTCGTCCAGTTCATTGACGCGCCGCGAAGAAACTCTAGCGAGAAAGAAGCGTGCAGAAGCATCGATCAAATCGTTGTAAGAAAAACCGCAAGATAGGGCACGAAGAAGTCCATCGAGCGCACGGACGTCTGCCAAAATAATTGCTGCCTGTGCCGCCGAAACGTATGCCGTAAAAAAAAAAAAGAAACAGTCGGAAGATATTTATATTCAAGCCATTATCCCATGAGCGGATTGTTCTTTTAAAAAGGAGCCCGTGCACCGGTATCGCGGACGATATACTTGAAACACGTCTTATGAATCTTTTATATCCCGTCAAAGCTGAATCTTCGAAAGTTTTAATAAACCGACCGTATCTGCCTCCAGCTGCTCTTTCCCCGGCGACCAACCCCCTGATATTTTTCTGAATTTCAACTTCTTCTTCGACGACGACGACGACGACGTACGCACGTACTTTCCGCAGCGAGATCAGATACAAGTCGGCGAGCTTTTTCACCGTTTCCCAGGATTTCTCGGAGGTTCGCCCGCGCGCGAAACAAAGCGGGCCCGATCGGTCACCGCGGCCATTATACGTCGAATTACCGGAATGACGAGCGGAATTAATGCAAGATCCACCGGTTCCCGGTTCCACCGGGTCCCTTCCCGTTTCAGTATTTATTGGGGTATCCGCGAATTTGCATAGGAGCGTCCGCCCCGCTCAAAACTTCGCCGGGACCACACAAAATGTCTACTAATGGCCAACGCGAGGACCCGTCGAGAGCTTAGGTAGCCGATCCGGGGACCTGGAATTCCACGCTCCGTGTGATATACTCGGCCCGATAAAAACACGCGGTCACGATTTCCAGTAATACGCCACCGGATGACACTTCGTTTTTCGTCTTGTTCCCGGGCACCTCGGTTTCGTTAGGGCAACATTGATCGGGAGATCGATCGAGGACCGTGAGCCTCGCGTGGGCGTCGCCTACGATTCTGCCGAACGCGCCGATAGCGATCTAGATGACCCTCCTATTAATTTCGTGCACCGAAAGAACAGTTTCACGCGTTCCGAACAATTTTGGTGGTCCTTCGATAGAACCTTCATCGGATTGCCACCTAGTTGCATAAATAGCTTTTTTCAGGACCGATGAGCTGCCACTGGGAGACTATTTCTTATCTATTTTATTATCTAATTTTAATGGGGAAATATGAAATCGTCGATTGAATAATGTAGAATGATGTGAAATGACTAAGTTCATTGCGAACAGTTATTGCTAGAGCGCGGATTTTTATACAAAATAAAAACTGGTGGTATTTGTTTCAAGATACAGGAGCTATGTAGACATGTTTTTTTCTTTGCTTAATCATTTTAATAGGTTGATAGTAATTCAACAGTGTTTCTAATCTGTTCGAATGTTTTCACAGTTTTGTTATAAATGCATAAAATTCGTTGTCCAGTTATTACTAGCACACGCATCTTTATAATAAAATAAATATTGTCTTTATCAGTTGCAACAAACGTGAGCCAAATTAAATTACTTTATTAAATTATTTCTTCAATAATTCCGGTGGGTTGAAAATAATAGATTGATCACCTTATATTTTCTTGATACTTTCATTGTTCAATAATTTTAGCCATTTTTATTGCGTTTAATAATGTGATAGCAATCCGGTTGAGGGTTAAGGAATTTCAAACTTTCAGTTTCCGGCGACTTTACGATTCCAGAATTTTCTTACTTTAATTAGTGGGAGGATGTGCGAGCTTCGTAATGGCTGCAGGAAATACAACACTTTTATATATTTTCTCTTTTTTATTTTACTGGGAATGTACAGCGGTGGATTGTCAATCAGTTTTTAACCGGTATCAATTATTTCCATCAGCTTTTGTAAACTCCGTCGACGTTTCTATAAATTTGATTGTTGCATTTCGGTATTTAGTTTTGCCAGGCTGGATATACGAGTACACACGGTGTAATCACCCCCCGGCTTTTATTGTTATCCATTGTTTGCTTCGATTCGCTTTTTAATCAAGTTTATTACGGACGCTAAAATTCGTTCGTAAACGATGTTGTCGAACGAAATTGAAAAAAGACGGATACGCGAGCGATCGTTTTAATCGCGTGGCAACAGTTCCGCCCGTTTTTAATCGGAATATTCTTCGAAATCAATCCGTCGATTTTAATTCACTCGTAATCGTGCCTTTATGTAATTCGATAAATTAACGGTTCATAACACTAATTCGAATTATCGCGAACGAGTTGCAAAATATGTAAGATCCATGCAAGAAAAATATATTGAATGAAAATCGTGAACACGATTGTTAAACGTTCTTCGGGGATGGCTCAAGCATTCGTTAAACATGATATAGAAAAGTCAATGATACTTGTACGAAATACTAATGAAATGCCAAGTGCTCTGGTCTTTTAACCGGTGCTTCTATTCAGCCTATACTGCGATATATGTCCTTCGAATGACCTTGAGGCTCTGAGATCCAAGTTAATTTTAACTCTTAAGAACATTCTACCCCACGTAATATTTTTATTCATAACACCGACACTATTGCTGTCTTTTCATTCGGGTAAATAAATAAAATATGTAATTATAAATATTATAATCATAACGATATAATCACAAATATTATAATTATAATGGTATAATTACAAATATTATAATTATAATTATATAACTTCAATGAATATTATATTATATTTTGAATTTATTTGTATTTATAAAATTTAAATCAGAAGTACAGAAATTATGCATAGGGTGGAAATCCTCGCGAACGTCGTTACAGGTTAAAATTCGCAGATGTAAAGAATCCAGCCATTGCGATGGATACGAGCAGCCGCGAATTTGCAGAAAATATTTTTAGTAGTGACCAGATATTGTTCTCGAACCCTCGAATTCGATTGGCTAGTCAAAGGGATAACCGGTTAACAGTTCGAAGGAAAGCGTGATCCTCGGAGAGGTAACGTTGCCTCAGATTTCGCCGGGGCTAAGGGACACCGTTCGGTCGAACCCTAGGCAGCGTTGGCGTAATCCTCTTACGACTACTCGGCACTAACCTATAATAATCCTCTTTGCAGTAGATGTTGCCGTCCCTGGCGAAGCACGTCAGCTCGGCGGCCAAAGGGACCCTGCAATGGCAGCAGCGCAAACAGCCGCAGTGCCACGCACGATCCGCTGCCCTTAGGTACCATCGCTCGGCTATCTCCCTGCCGCAACCCCCGCAGCCCAGTCCACCCTCCGTGTTGTTGTTCTCGCCGGTGGTAACCTGACGATTGCTGATCGCACCATCCCCTGGCGGGGGTGTGCTGCTTCCGCAGCCGACTTCCTTCAGCATCGCGACGTCACCTGCCTCCAGGACATTCTGCGGACAATCGATCTGGTAATTATTCGCTCACAGTTCCCGTTAATTATCTGCTGACTCTCTGCGCTCAAAGCTGCTCTGCAATCTCTCTCTAACCAGAATCCAAGATAATTATTCGAACGCGAATTTTTTTTAGTCGAATACTTTATACGAGCAACAATTACTCATTGTTCGTTACAAATTAGTCTATCTGTCTATTTATTCGAATAATTCCTAATTTTTTACTCGAATAATTCCTAATTTTTTACTCGAATAATTCTCCATTTTTCGTTCGAATAATTCTCCATTTTTTGTTCGAATAATTCCTCACTTTTTGTTCGAATAATTCCTCACCTTTTGTTCGAATAATTCTTTATTTTTTATTCGAATAATTCTTCATTCTATATTCGAATAATTCTCCATTGTTTGTTCGATTAATTCTTCATTTTTTATTCTAATAATTCTTCATTCTATGTACAAATAATTCTTCGTTTTCTATTTTAATAATTCTTAATTTCTTATTCGAACAATTCTTCGTTTTTATTCGAATAATACCTCATTTTTTATTCGAATAGATTATTCTAGTGATCAATGTTACATTTCACGTTCCTCATTGTTCCCAATGCTTCCTCCTTATAAAACGAAACAGCATGATTGTCAGAGAAAAGAACGCAGTATTTAAAAGGCAAAGCCGTTACAAATAGCAATCGAGCAAAACTCGCTAGCAGGATGATTCGATCGGGACATTTTGTTATACACATATTCGGATGCCTAAAACCACGCGTAAATGCCGAACCATTTCAATTCGTCTGTTTCAATAGATTTAGATAGCAGCGATCGCTCCGAGCTCTGATACTGTGCGCATCGTCGATGATTTAACAGTTAATGCCGATTCGGTTGCCGGATCCGCTGAAGATAGAATCGATTTTAAAACAGCATTAAAAATTCGCATAGTTGCGGATACTCCGAAACAGCCCGAACGTAACACGGTAATAATGATTTTCTGCAGAGGTGTTCTTTTCCTCCATTCGCGCGTATTACAATGTGAATGTTTAAACAAAATTTCAGTGGCGCAGTAAAGCAGAAATTTTTATTGCGAATTAAAGGGACACGGCCTCGCCGAGCGTCGTAACTCCCGCGGTTTAAGCGTGCTACTGTTTCCACCGCCTACTGCTTTTACGACCATACTATATTTCTTACACCGAATGTGCGGTTTAAATCGTGCGTAGTCTTTAAAACTGTAGGATCCATTCTGCATGCGCGTATTTCCATCGCGGCGCACGTTTGTAATTAATCGCTCTATCAAACTCCATTCCGGATCGTCTCCGTGAGCCGCGCGATCCTCCAAAATCCCTCTACTCGCATCAGTTTAGTCCAGAAGTTACTTTCTATTTAACCTTCAACTAGTAGCGTAAGTGAATTCGACGTCTTATCACTAGAACCGCGTATTTTCATGCGAAATAAAATCTGTTTGCACTAATTGCAAGATAAAGAAGCTAGGTTACCGAGTCCGAAATAATATTTTCAAATTCTTGAAATGTTCTTACTGTTTTGTAACTGATCTTCTCGCTTTTGTGATAAATGCATAAAAATCCGCAGTCCACTTATCACTCTGCAAAACACACACAAGCTGTAACGAAATTTATTGCATACAAATTCGCAAACCAAGAGGATCATTTTTTGTGATCCTTTAGAATTACTATTCGAGTGCTCGAATAAAGAAACGCGCAATCTCAATAATTCTGTGTCGAAAAACGCGGAATATCACATTTTGTTACAATTTTAATTCTTGCATTAATTGACCTACAGAATGTAGGATTTATTTGTTTATTAGAAAACATATCGCAAAAACAAATTCGACAAACTCAAGGAAATAATGCAATTTCTAATATTAGTAATACGAAAGATTAATAATCAGAACTTCAAGTGACAATAGGGTAGTGAAGCCAATTACTGTGGGGTGACCAATCGTTGTGCCTTTGCTTTGCTCTCGGTGATAATTAATTTTGTATTTATTATATTAATCTTTTGACTCTTTTATTTAGTTTATATCCGAATAAAAAATATTGATCTATGTTATTCGATAAATATAAAGTTAATTACGAGACCGAAACCAAATCAAAGGCATAGCGCGATCACAGAGCTCATGTGACACGTACTTCTCTCCGCAACCACAGAATCATGAAATTAGAAACGCAGATGAACCGGCAAGATTAGCGTAGCTCGCGAACGGAACGCGGAGCAAAATCGATGGAAAATTGAACGCGATGACAAAACATGGAGTGTGTTTTTGGGGTGTTTCGGGGCATAATCGCAGCAGCGAAAACCTCTTTTTTTCCAGGGGCGCTGTATTTAGCGGTGCACTCGAGCCTAGCCGGCGGCCACTCGTCTCACGGCGAAAATGCTCCCCACGTCGGAGGGATTTTTTTTCACGGCGGTGATCGCGACGAGGTCCCGAGGATCTGAAGGAGCCTGCTCCTGCGGGAGAGCGGAGACGTCGCCGTCGAGCCGGCCGCATTCATTCAGGACACTTCTCGGGAGCGCACGCAAGAACCGATGAATGAAAACAATTCGTGACTGCTGTCCCGTTAATGAATGACTCCCGGGGTAGTGGCTCTCGGTTTCGAATCGGCCGCGAGCTAATTAGTAGAACCTTGCGGATCGCCACAATAACTCAACGTCCTTTACGAGCTCTCTCTCGGGCCCGCACGTGATTTCCGTAAGTTAAATGGAAGGTGACGTCGGTCTGGAATCACCGTACACCTCGTTTTACCAAGGTGACGCCGTTTTGCTGCCGCTTGTCACCGACGTATTAGGCCGAACGTGTGCGAGCTGATTTACAACTATCCCCCCTCCGCCCTCCGCGGCTCCCCTCCCCTAGCCCCTTTCCACCACGCCCTCGTCTCCTTTACTTTCTTTCTCGTTTTTCTCGCCGATACGACGGCGATTCCGTTTCATTGTCTCTACCGGCGACCGACGGACATGTGGTTTACGACGTCGCGGCTTGTACCCCTGGAATTGCTCACTTGTTACCGATTCGATGCTACCCTTTATCGGGCTACGCGACGCTTTATGAGCACCTGCTCCAAGCACCTTGTCTCCTCGATTTCATTAATTTTTCTCTCCTGCCCGACGCGATCATTTGTTCCCACTTTTCGCGGTTTCTTCGCTCTTTCACTTTCCTCGTATTTTTCGTGATTTTCTTGTTCATTATGGAGGTCGAGCTTTTCGATGGAGGGAAAAATCAGTTTCGAAAGACGTTAATATCCCTCGGAATATTTATAAATTCTGTCTAAGGAATTCTGACGAGGATAACGAAGACAAACGTTCCATTAAAAGGACCTACGTAATTCAATATTATGTTATATTTAATTGTGGATTCGACTCTTGACACTAGGAGAAAATTATGGAAAAATTGTGACTTTATAATGTCGAGCTGTAAAGTCGAATTATAAGGTATTTTATAAAGTCGTATTCGACAATGTCGAATTGAAATGAAGATCGCTGCACCGCTGTGAAGATTCATAAGAATGAATAAATAAAAGAGATTTCGTGTCTTCATTTATGCATTTTACACGATTACTTTGTGTATTCTGTTGTGTATTCTTAAGTGCCTGAAATGATGCTTTGGCATGAATATATACCGTCGCCTTATCGGCGACATCTGAGTGCAAAGGGATAAAATAGACTTCCCAGCAAAGAAATACCACGGCCACTCAGGAATCACACAATAAAACGTTATTAAAGTAAAAGACAATCGGGTTATCTGTGTACGTTTTTACTATCTAACAACGTTAAAATCAGCTTATTAGAAAAAAAACAACCTAATGGACGATCTCCTCGCTCGCCAACCAAAGTCACAACTGCATTAGGAGAGCATCGAGGCGTTGATCGAGCTCTCACGTTGATGAATTTTCCCGAAATCGTGGACAATGCAAATAATTCACTAATTATTGGTTTTTGATTCCACACACCTTAATACCTTTTTACTCAGCATTCAGTAATGCTTCGAATTATGCCATCGAATATTAAATATTGTTACAAAAATAACTCGGAAAACCGCCATTTACCGCAAGCAAATCCAACGGAAATTTGTTTGATAATACCAATAGTTTATTTAAAAAAAAATATGACCACTTGATCTCGCTTGACAAACAACTATTTCATTGACTAAAGGTAGAACATATATAGATCTTGTATTTATATATCTCATGGCTCAAAAACGTGGAACAAAGTAATGAAATTGGTATATATTATTAATTTAGCACCTGTCAATTAAGATTATTCATTATACATTAGCATGAGAAACCAGAAAGCAATCAGAAAGATATCACGAAATAGTCTGAGAAATAGTTTCATATTTTAAAATGACCGATTTCCTCTCAGTACAACCTTAAGTCGGAGCACGTTAAAAGTTAATATCGATGAAAAATCATGCTCTGCTCACGTGCAAATAAGATCCGCTGTACAGAATTTCAAAGTATGGAACTAATTTCGCCGACTGACTCCACGATGTCGGATAAATTCACCACTGTGCGTCTGCCACCCCCAAGCACCCATCGACAGTCTCATTCCGCCATCGTCCACAGTCATCGCAACAGCTTGCCAATTAGCTTCCGGTGCAGAAATTAAACAATTTACCCGAGGTCCTTTGGAAAGGCGCGTCAGGTAACCGCGTCGCGACGCTGAAACGCCGAAAAAACAGCGCTCCTGTTCTCGCCGTCCGTCACGGTTCGACGGCGCCATTCGTCCCGCGAAATTTCAACGGTGCTCCATATCCTCGGCTCCGTTCTTACCTACCTGGTGGATCGTTTAACCAGCTGGAACACAAGCGGCGTCGGCTCCCAGCGGCTTTGCCGACGTCTCTTCCGCTCTGCTCCCTGTCGTCGGCCGTCGCTCGCCTGTTCCCGTCGCCGCGAACGATCCCCGCTGAACCAATTTACGCCTCGAACCCGGCTATTTCCATCCGAATCCCTCCGGCGACCTTGAACCAGCGACAGCGATCTTTCCTCGAGCTATCCGGACGCTCTTCGGCACGGAGCGACCCACGCTCGGCCGTCGGAAGCTCCGCGGCTTGGAAACCGGAGGCGTTTCACCGGGACATTGGACGTTCGAGGTGTCAAACGTAGGGCAATTCGTTGTTTAAATTCATTGTCGAGGGACTTGTTGGTAGCAGTGACAGTCCTAATTGAAAATTCTGAGGCTGCAAGGGTCAACGCCGCGTGTCACATGTTTTCACTTCTCGAGATACTGACGCTTGACACGTCCGCTAGCCGCGTCGCTAGCGTACACGGTTATGTTTATTGTATTTATTATGTATTAAATGTCGTTAGAAAGAAGCTACAAATTTTCTAAATATCATGCTGCGTGTTACAATTTTTATTCATTTAGTTATTTATTGGATATGTACGGGAAGTTGCCTATTAGTTATGAAATCACAAGAAAGAGAATGTACAGAGATTTTCAATAATTATATTCAATTTTGAGTAATTATATTCGCGAAGTTCATTTGATGTTCTTTAGGCTCGTGCTCGTCACGCATGTGCGACGCTGCTAGCGAACGTGTCGAAGTTCTCATTTCTAATGCTTCGCGTTAGTAATTCTTCAAATAGCATGATTTTGTTGAGCCTACGGAATTAGTTCTCACGATGTATCTTCTAATAAATAAATCTCAGTTCCTAGCTACAGTTCAATGAATGAGATAACTTGAATTTTCTAACATTGCAGCGTGCATCGTTTGTCCTTGCAGCCACAGAATCTTGTCGATGTTCGTTGTCTTGACGTGATTTCGGAACTGAGCCGAAGACGAATTTAGACTTTGCAGTTTGAAAGTGCATCCCGAATGATTCATCCGCAACAAAAAGTGTAATCCGCATTTGTACGAAAGTGAACAGTGAACGAAATACAGCCGAGCTCTACTTCCGGTGAATTGAACGTGCACGAATGGATGACTCGACCGTAATGAAGCGACAGTGTCACGTTTAAACGTGTTCGATGAACATCCGCGAAAGATTGGTGTGACCGTCGCCGAAAATGAGTTCAACCTAGATGGATTAGCGCTCAGATTTCATTGACAACGGAAACGTAAACGAACGGCGTAAACACTGCAGCTACCATCTCTCACATTCACCACGAATTCATTAACAGATGCACATCCAAAATGCGAAATTCGCCTCGAGCTCCGTGCGAGTTCGCAGTTCTGGCAGCACGATGCCCGATCTCTTTGTTTACCGCGCTAAGTGTGAAATATTTAACTAACGCGGCACTCGTCGGTTGAACCAGGAAGCGTGACAGAAGTGTCTCAGAATTTTCCGAGATTTTCCGAGATTTTTCGAGATCGTCTAACAGTAAAGAATCATCCGGGATCGTCGCAGATTATTATAGGCGGTCGCACCGATTCCGAAGAACAATTCTAGCCGCGTGCGAGTGGTCGCATGCGAGCGTTGCCCAGCGGATGCGCGACACAGCCGAAAGCTCGTGGCCGAAAAGTTCGCGACGCCGAAAAGTTCGCTCGAGGCTCGAGTGTTCGACGGGATCCGTCAGGTGTGCCTCGATCGTCCAATTGCCTCGGTTCCCGCGGCAAATCCTCTCTACCTGTCAGCGTTCCAAGGCCCCTCCGGTGTCTCGGTATCACCTGGTCCGGGCCATCTCCTGCGTGGACGCCGGCGTCGGAAGCACGTTCTCACGTAACCGCGCGCGCCGCCGGACCTTGTCAACACACTGCCGCGGCTGGTCGCCGAGCGGATTCACTCGCGGCACCGGAAGACGCCGGTTTTCCGCCGCGCGAGCGCCGACCCGGTGGAAAGCGAGCGGAAACGCGCGGAATATCTGGTTTGTTTCGGTGCGGCGCGGTGCGGCGAGGGAAAATCGTGCGCGCCACGGGCCGAGCCGCGGATAATGTCGGCCGTTGCACGGCAGACAAGTTGCCCGCGAGGGAAGCTGCTCCCCGTCGGCGTAATAGTACGATCCTGGGCTGGCCAGCCAGGGCCAGGGGCGGACGTCGGCATGCCAGGATAGAGGGGTTGGCCCCCGCGTGCACCGACGTCGTCGCACGGGGTGGGGTTTCGACGGCGGCGACGACGCCGGCGTGCCGCGCGAGGGGCAGAGGCGTCGGGACGCCCGGCGTTTGCGCGATAACGTCGCGGACCGCCGTCCTTATTCGATCCTCGTCGAGCGGCGCCCCCGACTGCGACGCCGCGTCGCGACGCCTGCCCGATTCTGACGGCTGCCCGACGAAACGACGGGACGAGACGAGACGAGACGAGACGACGAGACGACGGGACGACGAGGGAATCGCTTTGGACGACCGCTGCGGAGTGCTGGGCTTGCGTTTCTTCGAATGATTTTGGATCCGGTACTAGGCACAAGCCGCGCCAGCGGTGGGGATTTGGGAAACTCCGGGTGAAAGACGCCATAGTTGTTTAGGTGGCGTTTTTTGGGGTACTCTGCGCGGCAGGGTTTGCGTTTCTTGGGAATTATTTTGGAATGCGGAGGCGAAGATTCGCCGGATGCCATGGGAAATTGAGAAACGTGTGGGTTAGGATCGTGGTGGCGTTGGTCAAGTTTTCGAAAATTTTCATTTATGAATCAAAATGCAATCTATACGTACGACAATGTTGAAAAGACGAGTGTGGTAAATTGTAAAGTTACTATGAATTAACTGAACTCTAAATTGTCTTAACAATGATTTGATCTGTAAGCACTGCTCATGTTGGTAATCAATAACTTGTTTATTGAACGTACCTTGTTTCTCGCAATGAGCAAAATGCGCGACATACGCTATAATTCTAATCCATTCAAATAAGGGTTGACGTATAGGGTGTTCAAAAAGATTGTGACCAAAATTATACTATGTGTCACTGAGGTGAAATAGATGAAAGATGTTCATATATATTAGTAAGTATATTATTACATATATAAATTAGATAGCAATTAGTTTATTAAAAAATACGAAACCGATTACCAATCCTCGCGAGCAAATTTAATAAAACATTTTCGTTGAATTGACGTATAAAAGCATTGAGTAAACGAATCGTTTATCAGTTTAATATTTAATTAATCTGTGCTATTAATCTGTAATATTAATCAAAATATATTAATAGGATGTGTATCATTGTGATAATTAAGATTCGTCTATTCAATGAACATTTTTATCATATTTACGAATTTTTTGAGTTCAGTGTAAGCGTTGAAAATTTATGTAATCGTTGATTTATAAAAATACAATAGAAACGGTTAAATCAGCCATGGAAATGTACTCAATGTGCATTTACTATGTACAAATAGAATATTTAAAAGAGTTCGATAATCACCAATTCGACGAATGAAAGCTTGCGTTCTTGCAGTGGAAGATATTTTCCAACATTTCTCAGAGCTGCTGCAATAAATCATGAATAACTTTAAAAACTTACATCTAAACTGCGGATTTCATGCATTATGGTAAAATCGAATAGTTGCAATTCAAAGCAATAGACACATTGCGAGAATCTAAAAACGTCAATGTATCATTTTCAACCCATTAAAATTATTGAAGAAAGAAACAATTTGCTATTTCGTTTATACATCTCGCAATTTTGATGAGGACAATTACTATTATGCATAAAAATCCGCAGTCTACTTACATCTTTTCAACGAAGACAAAGAATTTTCTTTATTCAAACGAAGAATTTTCGACCATGAGTTAACATGAACCCTCCTCGTTCATTCGATCTCAATACCACATAACTTTGATCCCAATGATTCTGGACACCTTGTACAATGGAGCAAACGATTCGAGAGTTTTAGCATCGGATTTAGTCGAAAATGTCGCGGACCGTTTGTCTCGCCAGATTTCCGTCTTTCGCACCAGAAGCAACGTGTTAATCCGACCACGATTCTTACATTGTACCGGTCCGCGTTTCAACGGCAACTACGCACACATGTACATACATACGTAACGAAAGAATAATAAATAGACTGGGAAGTTCGGATTAGTGCGTGCAGATAAATCTCTATTACGCAGCCGCGAAATCCGAATCGAAGCCGGAGCCAATAATTCCTGCTTTCTCGCGTTCCCACCACCTCCGTCGCTCGCAATATTCGCCTCTAATGAATTCCGTCGCCGATTTCACGGCCGCGCGGACACGCGGACGCGAGTTCCGCGCGATACTGTTGCATAGCAATCGCCGTGTAAAATCGATCGTGCGTTTTCCGATAGCTCGGAAGCGGCCGAACGAGGGCGGACGGGCGACACCGAGATCTCGGAACGAGAAAGGCGGCGGCGTTTCGTCTGGGTGAGAGAAACGGACGCCGATATTTCGAAATCGTTCGCGGAGACACGTTTTTCGGCGGGGGGCCCGCTACGGAGCGGTCCGCGGTGCCGAGCGAGCCGGCCCGTTTAACCGACGATTTGTACCTGTATGCGTGACTGACGCGTGACTAACCATTCGCGTGTCACGTCATTTCTCTTGGCGAGAAAGCGCGCTTCCCATTGAGAGAGGCCGCCGATTACAAATTAATTGAGAGTGAAACGCGAACGCACGGCGAACGCACGGCGAACGCTTTGAAAACGATGTCGGCGGGCTGGAGGCGCTAATCATGAATAATGAATGCCCGCTTCGCTCCGCTCTGCTCCGCTCTGCTCCGCAACGCTCCGCTCCGCGAGCGAGCGAGCGAGCGCTTAGGAAACGCTCCGACGCGGCGACTTCGAACAACAATCTCTCCACCCCCGCGTCCGCCATTTTCCAGCAACACCTTGGTCCGCCGTTTCAGAAGGTTAACTCGGCGAGCGTTACTTTGAGCAACGACTTTCGCGATCCTTCCAGGTGTCGGCGAAAGACATCTCGATCGTGAAACACACTTTTCCGGGCACTTCCCTCGGGAAAGGAGAGAAATTGTTATTACCTCGCGAGCTGCGTCTCGAAAGGCTCTTTGAGACAGCTTGTCGTGCCGAGGCTCCCCGGTTTATTCAACGTCCAAGAAGAGCTCGCCCGTAGACGTTGACGAATTAACGAAAGAAAAATCTGAAACATTGATCGATTCGATGCTCCCTAGCGCAGTTTTAAAGAAAACTCTGTGCCGGGTCTTGTACGACGTCTCTGGACGTTTACGCGATCACGATTCTTTAAGTTAAGCCGTTCTCGACGAGTATACTCGTCGCGAGACAAAATGTTGCCATTTCTTCGTGGCGAGTATGCTCGCCAAAAATAGCTAACTGGTTAGGAAGGATATATATATACTTTGGTACTTATTATCTGTTTATTATAATTTATTAATTAAACGGGCAAAATAACCTTTAGATTACAGCTTATGGTATGTATACAGTGATTTAATCCGTGTTTTGTATTGGAAGATTTAGGAGTCAACATATTGTCTACTAAATTGTGTATTTTATAAAAGCGTTGTATTTAAACAAAACAATTCGTTTATCTCTTTTGTGATTCATTTATCCGATTTAATCGCTCTGTCATCACTATTGTTCGCAACGATCCTTAATTCTTGTTTCACTGCCATTACTGTCACCGTTATTACTACCATTATTATTCTTATAATTCTTATTATGTACTCCTATTCGTGTACTCGCTGTTATTTTATATTTTATAACAACGGGTCCAATCCGTGAAAGAATAAAAATTATAATAATAATAATTATTATTATTATCATAAAATATGAAGAAAATCGGACGTATAAAGTATAATTACAGTGACTTACACGCTTTTCAAAGAGATTGCGACAGCCAGTTGGGTAACAGATACAAATTAGTCCATGGATGTTAATATAAATTCGCACTTTCGTCGTTTATCTCGTTAAAACGAGGACAACGATGAATCCTATTCCATTGCGATTAATTCATTTTCTCGCACAGAAACCTTGAAAAGATCCTCCATTTCCTTCTGTTATTCGATCACACCTGCGAAACGAAACGGAAATTGTAATAAAATAAACGAACTAACAAACTGCCGGAAGATTTGCAAAGGTGCTTGACAGACAGCACCTGTCCACAGGACGGTCTCGCGGACGAATTTCCGCGGGCCCTTCAATCGCGACCGATTCCGCGTGTGCCGGGCGATATTGTCCGCGACCAGTTTCTGGATTCGCCTAACCGCGAACGGCCGCCTATATTTGGACCGGGCGTCTGGAACCGGCGAGTAGAGCGGGTCCGCATTCGGCGACGTAAATTCACCGTCCAACCGCGACGGAATCGTGTCTCTGGAGTGGCTCTCTCGATATATCCCATTAGGTTCATTAACCGCGGGTGGCGGAATCGCGCGCGCGACCCGCTGCCCGCTACAAATCGGGCCTCGCCTTTTATACGCCGTTACCACTGGCCCCCGGGAGGTTTCTTGCGGGCCGGCGCGGCGGCCGCGGTTCCGTGTCCGCGGGATTTCACGGCAATTACGTCCGATGACTTTCTTCGAATTAATCGGCGACCGCCGTTTACGGAAAGTGGAACAATAGGGAAGCGACAATGCGGGGCCGGCGATCGGTTCCTCGTACACGAGATTGATCGTTCCCGGGGATGCTGCGCTTTCGATCGGCCGATCGGCCCGGCGTCATGCGCCGCGGCAGAAGAAAATCGTCGAGGAATGCCGACCAGAAGGCGCTCCGGACGAGACGGATGACAACCGCGGACACGTCGCTGACAATCCCGACAGTCCATGGAAGCCTGGTCGCTGGGCTACCTTTTCGCAAAATCAAAGTAATTCGGTCCACGGGTTCGCTAACAGCGTCGCTCGTGTCCGACAACTACGATTTTGTACTTCCACGATTTTCTGAAGATCATCGAGTGCGGTTCGAAAGAACATAGGAAACCTGCGGACGAGCAATAGCCGCGGAAACGACCTAGAATCCAAGCCGGAAGAGGGTATCCGGCGGGATAGGTTGCGGTAGAAAATATCCGCGGACTTATCAATCAGTGCTGGCAGCAATCCTTTCCAGATTACGAGCCGGGAAGAGGATCGGAAGAGGATCGCAAGACGACAGCAGCCCCCGCGAGCCCCGTTTTAGGGGCTGCTCGACGAGGACTCCTCGGTTGCAAGACTTCGGAGATGCCGCGTCATATCGATCAGAGACTTTCGAAACGCAGCCTAGGTACGGCTGAAACAGCGATATGAACGAAGAAGAAGACGAGCACTAGGTCTATCTCCTCTCCGTTCCTCCCACCTACGACGGTGCGCGGCGTCTGTGAGAGCGTGTTTCGCGTTCGTCGCGTTTGTGTGGGTCCCGCGTCTCTCTCTCGTCGTTGCCGCTCGTCCTCCCCCCTCTCCTCGCGCGCCACGCTC